GCGCGGCGTGTGGTCTCTCTCTCCCCCCCCCCCCCCCCCTTTATGTCTGCAAAAAAATAATCCAGGGAGGAGCAGGAGCTGGCTGCCCCAGGGTCACTCTCGGTGTCTGCGGCAAGAATTTGAGGACAAAACGGAGCTTTTTGGGACTGGATAAAAGCTGGGGGCAGGTAAGGTTAAATCTATCGATAAAAAAAAGAATCAATTGGGTTTTTTTTCGATGACGAGCCTAAAATGGGAAAGCGCATTGGGAAATTCCTCCGGTGTCTCCCCTGCCCTGGGTTTGTTCCCGGTAGCAGCTGGATTTGGCCGTTTCTGAGGGGATTTGGGAGGGGGAAAAAGGGAAACGGGGGAAAAAAGAGGAAGCAAGTGGAAAGGAAAAAGGAGGAAAAGGAGTAAAAAGAGGGGATTTGGGGGGCAAAAAGGAAAAGTGGGGGAGATAAGGGAAAAAAGGAGAAAAAAGGGAAAAAAGGGGAGAAAAGGGAAAAAAGAGGAAGAAGGGGAAAAGGAAAAAGGAGGAAAAAGAGTGAAAAGAAGGGATTTGGGGGGAGAAATGGGAAAAGGGGGGAGAAAAGGGAAAAAAGAGGAAGAAGGGGAAAGGGAAAAGGGGGAAGTGTAAGAAGGGGGGATTTGGGGGGAAAGAGAAAAATGGGGTAAAATAAACAGAAGAAACATGGAAAAAAGAAAAAAGGGGGGGAAGGAAAATGGAAAAAAGTGGGAAAAGGCAAAAAGAGGAAAGAAGAGGAAAGGGGAAAAAGGAAAAAAGAGGAAAAGGAAAAAATGAAAAGCAGATTTGGGGGTCAGGGGCAAGCGGCCGTGCATAAAATGCCAGTTGTTGAGGTAGGCAGAAGAGCTGCGGAGCAGAAACTTTCGGGATGAGTCTGAAGGGAAAAAAACAGATTTTGGGGACACAATTTAAAAAAAAAAATAAAATAAAAATCAAAGAATTTGATGGTTTTCTTACCTTTTTTCCAGCCAAAGTATCATGGCCGGCAGCCCGGGCTGGGGAAACGCCGATGTGCCGCTGCGGGTCCGGCCCGTCGTGTTCTGGGGTGAGTTCGAACGAGGCAGAGAAACGCTCCATGACCTGTAAAACCCAACCCCCCCCAAAACATGAATCGCCTCCAAATAAGATTTTTCCAGCCCCGGAGGCCGTGTTTTGCACCCTCATCCCGTGCAACGGATGAGAAAAGTCAAAATTCCCCCACCCCATGGCACGCGGAGTGGAAACCAAGGGCCAAAGACCCCCCCCCAAGAGGCGTTTTGGGTGCGGATTGGTTGAAAATCAGGAAATTTTCCACCCTGGTTGCAACCCAGCGCTGGGTGTGGTCCTTCAGTGTCATCTCCAAGCGTGGCTGTCGCCATTTCCACCCCCGTGGCCTATTGGAGGTGGAAGGGGACGC